ATATATATATATATACATACATATATATATATATATATATACATATATATACATATATATATATATACATATATATACAAATATATATATACACACATATATATATATATACTCAAAGCTTTAGTGCTGTGTTTTTACATTAAATATAAGACTGTATAATAAAATAATCGTACTGTATAATAATTGTCAGTGAAATGTGCAGATTGATTTCATGTTAGTTTTATAAGTTTAGCTATTGTTTTAAGTGTTTGGCTCAAATATCCTATTTTGTCCTCGGTTTTGTATTGTATTTCTTTGTATGTATTGAGGGTCCCAAATAAGCAGCTGGATAGACCTGCCCTCACAAAAAAATTGCTGAATTAAGTAAATATGATATTATTTATTATGATCATGATATGATGATTATGATTATGCTTTTAAGCAGTATTAATATTGCTGTATATAAAATTATAAAAATATAAAACTGTCGAAGTTTTTACTCAGAACCTTTCAAAATTGATTTCAAATTCTTTAAGAACTGACTGGAAAGGCTGAAATGTACATTCATGCTTATTACATACTATTATTGGTCGTGTGTATTGGACTATGTAAAGTGATGTTATGATGTAAAATAAAATCATTAAATAGAAACATGGAAGTTCTCCATTATAGAGTTAGCCTACACCCATTACTCAACACACAACCTATCTTGAATGTGGTGGTCTGTATGTGTGTCGTAGAACGTAGTGTTTGTAATAAATCATGCTTCAGATTTTATATCTTTATTACCTCCGCCAAGGAGGTTATGTATTCATTGATGTCTTTCTGTCTGTTAGCAAGATTACACAAAAAATAATGAATACATCATCACATTTACATTTAGTGGAATAGTACATACAGTAGTAATCAAAATAAGATACCATTCAATTTAAAAGTAGGTGCCACAACTGGGATTCGAACATGAGACCTTCTGATTACGGATTTAAACGGTATGAACAACTACAATATGGAACTTTCGTTGATGAGCTATGTTTGATAAGATTTAATAACATCATGTTATTTGAGCACTGTATTATTATCTATTTGATTTATATAGGTAGTATTCCCAGTGCTATGCAGCAACTTGATTTATAGATTTCGAATACAGGACATTGATAATACACTGTATTTTACCTATTCTTTGACTATTTTGATATACTGTATATGTATACATATATATATATATATATATATATATATATATATATATACAAATATATATATATATACATTTTGCATTTTGCATAGCATATATATATAAGGTTTGTGCACTCTTGTATTCATAATCAGTGCACCACGTCACACAGGGCTGACCTAAGCCCTGTTTTAGTCTGTCGTGTGTTTCATTCTTGAAATCCTGGGCTGCACTGCACTGATGAGATCTAACAAGATAGAAACGGTACTGTCTGCAGATTGGAATATTTACGCTCCTTTACATTGTGCTGCTAAGGTAGTACATTGTTTTGTAGAGCACTCTTATTTTAAGATGGTGCATTGTTTATGTAATGCTATTTTGCAATTTGCATAACACACTCATTTTGGGTTTGTGCACTCTTGTATTCATAATCAATGTACCACGTCACACAGGGCTGACCCAATGTTTGAGTCTGTCGTGTGTTTCATTCTTGTCATGCGTTTCATTCTTGAAATCCTGAGCTGCACTGATGAGATCTAACATGATCGAAACGGTACTGTCTGCAGATTGGAATATAATATATATATTATTATTTTTATATATATATTATTATATATATACATTATATATATATATATAATTAAAATAATAATAATAATTTAAAAAAGGCAAATGGGAAAAACCCATCAAACAGCAAACGGCCACATAATGCAAAAGAATTTAAAATTAAAACGGAAAACGGAACAGTAGAGAAAATCCGATCAGAATGACAAAATAAACTAGGCATCCACTGGAAAGAATCCTAATATCTGCAGACGGATCAGTTTCGGCCTTCCAGGCCTCATCAGTGCAGCTAGGGTACAGACCCAAACGAAACGTTCGACCAGCTTAGGTAGGGCCCAAACTAGTCCCACGACCACTAACGATTACAGACCCAAACCCAGGCAATATACACAGCCCAGGTGTGAATGCAAATAGTGGAATACAAGCTATGCGGCTCGGTTCCAGTAGATACAGAGAATATTTTGTCACTGTTAACGCGTCCTACGAAATTCTTACGAGACAGCACTAGTCCGTGAATTTGTGAACAAAATCGGAGATCTATAGATGCAATCTCTACCGTGCATCAATGGCGGCCCGCTGGATCTCAATAGAGATTCTTTAATAATATATAAATTTAAAAAAGGCAAATGGGAAAAACCCATCAAATAGCAAACGGCCACATAATGCAAAACAATTTAAAAACAATTTAAAATTAAAAGAGAACAGTAGAGAAAATCCGATCAGAATGACAAAATAAACTAAGCATCCACTGCTTGTCAGGTGTTTGGTAGTAATATCTGTCTCTTATACACATCTAGATGTGTATAAGAGACAGAGTCAATGGTGTGCATGTTGCACGTATTTTCCACCTATTACTAAAATATACTGTGCATCAGAAACAAAGAAAGGGTTGACATATATATTTGAATATAAATATTTATTTTAACGAATAATTCGTCCTTTTTTACTTCTCAACAGCATAACTAATTTACTTTACAACTAGCCATTTATTCATACAAAAATCATTTCATTCAAAGACCGTCTATTAATGTAAATATATAACATAACAAAAAGAGTTTTAGTACAAAATAGAAAACACCAAGTCAATTCAGCTCTCAGTAAATTTCCAGTCTATCTATTTTTATTTTATTTATTTCTTCTTTACCCTGGGTGACCTGATCAGTGTAAAAACATTGTTATCACCCATGGCCCAGCAACACATACAATAAAATACATCAAATGACAAAAATCAGAAAGTATATAGACAATCAATAAAGACTATAGAAATTTAAAATTCAAAATGTAAGAAGGATACTGTATATATCATAATAATACCAATAATATTAATTATACCAATACTATTAATTATATAATAATAATAATAATAATGAAAATAATGCAATAATAATGAAGATGATGATTATGATAATAATAATAATATTAATAATAATCATGATAATAATAATAACAATAATAATTAATAATAATAACAAATGAATTTTGGGAAAACGTGGAACGTTTTACAACTGCGAAGAAACGATAATCCAGTTCAGCTTTAATGAAACGTAGAGATTCGGGTGTTCACTCCAACCCATCATCAGTACAAACAGAAAAGCAAACACGAAAAAACTCGCCTTTCTTAACTAAGAGTATATATGCCTATACAAAGAATTGAATGAATATTAATTAGTTAAGGCAAAATGTTACCAACTAAGGTAACAAACGATCGTTCTGGATAACCATATGCAAGGTGCATAGAACAGTGGTGTTTATCATGTATAAACACCGCTGCTTAGCACATGGATGCCTTGCCTAACTAGGGCTACAATACCCGTATTGTATAATACTTAAACAAGGTACGTCTGCAACTGAATTATTCTTATTTAATTTTTTTTCTCTTATTTTAATTTATTTCTTTCGAAAGTGTACTTTGTATCACATATAATTGCACTGTCTAACTTAGGCCTAGACCTAGGTCTTACTAATAAATACCCTCCCACCGTCCCCCGCTACACAGTATATCAGTAGGCTAGGCAACAGAACGTGATATGCCATCCTTCCCAGGTTTTCATGTAACATTTGCATATTGTTGACTAACCAACTTATGCTTACCGTTCCACCACAAGCCCCCACCCCAGGCTACTTTACAGACGTATGCTAGGCAACAGAACGTGATATTGCACCTTCCTTCCCAGGTGTTTATGTAACATTTGCACATTGTTAAATAACCAGAGGATGCGGAGTCCTCATTTTCACAAAGCATTTTCATCCCCTCTTGCCTCATGAGCACCGTACTTCGAATTAATTGTCTCCATATCTTTGCTAATTAATCACTGTAATTTAGCTTACACTTATGCATGGAGTAACTGGAGCACTTAAAATGTACAATAATCATTTTACTACCCGACAAACCCCGAACTTTATTCATGCATTACATAAATAGTTTCATGTTGCAACATCACTGGCGCATGGTAACAACCAACTGACTGCAGACCATTTCCGGTCACACATTACTCTCCATAACGCAGTCACCCCCTAGTTCCGTCACCTCTGGATGGAGACTTTTCGGTCACATTTTTAGATTGCAAAGGTAAGTCCCAGCTAATGAAGCAATAAACTACTATTTCGAGAACTCTAAACATCAAAAATATAGAGGACGATCACGAACCACACTACCAGTTACTTTATCGAACAACCTGATCACCTTTCACAGACGGTTACCATCTGCACTACCACCCAAGATCAATAATTTAAAAGATGTAGAAACAATACGAAGAATCGCAGAAAGCAGACATGATTGGAGGAAAGTAATCCTAGACAAAAGCAAATTCAGCCGAGGTCATCCTACTATCTGGCGGACCGGCAGTAAAGTAGTAAGTAAGTAAGTAAATTAATTAAAATTGATAAAAAAAAAAACCAAATTGTTAATCACAGGCTTCAGTAATTTGCTTTTCTTTTCTTTTCTTTTTTTTAAGGAAATTTTGTGCTGCTTTTTGTTGTTTGAAGTATTGTAGTTATAAAATCTTATTTCGACGTAATGAATGTTTTAAGGACCACAATTGAAATAAGTTGACCTTTCTGTTTTTATCCTCGGAATTCTATATTATAGAATGAATTTCGAATAAAATTCAATTAAATCCATCATTGAGTGCAGTGCATCCCGTGCATTTCCAAAGCCGGAGCCCACATATCTCAAATTATATATTCTCGAGGAATCCGTTCAAATTTTAAGGTTGTTTTTTTTTCAAATAAATACAGAAACATTTTTGTTGCAGCTTTAAAAATTAAAATCAATAACTCTTTCAAAGCAGCTGTCCCCTCCAAAAAATATTTCGATAAAGATAGTTTACAATATGTTTACAAAAATAATAAAATCAAGGTCTAAGAATGACTGTCAATTCACATATAAAATTTGCTGATCAAGCACATTACATTTCTCCAGATGTTTTTCAATTCAAGAATATGTACTATGAATTGGCATCATAAACTGGGTTATATACACAATCGCTCTTCACCTGCGTGTCCGATTCGTCGTTTGAGTTCACAACAACCGGTTGCTCGGAATTTTTCACCTGAAAAACAAAATAATATAGTCTTGAATCAATCATTTAATAATCTGTGTTTTCTTTTTTAATTCAAAATATAAAATACTAGTATAATGTACTACCAAGTCAATTCAGCTATCGGTAAATTTTATAATCGGGCGATTCTGGTATGGACAACAAGATTCCTGCTCTACAATAGACAAATACAGTAATTATAAATCACCATTTAAAAATTTAATTAAGGTGGTAGATGATAGGGCAAGTAAAATAGCATTATTTAATTTGGATGTAATCAGCCAGTGCCTAAAGATAAATACATGAAATCCCAGAATCTCCAGATGTTTTTTTAATCCAAGAATACTAGGAATCTGCATCTTGAACTTGGTTATGTACACTTACTGCACAATCGCTCTTCACCAGCGTGTCTGCTTGCGATGAGTGGTTTGAATTAACGCCAACCGCTTGCTCTGAAGTTTTCACCTGAAAAACACAATAACAATATCTTAAATTAATTAGTCATTAATATTTATATTTCCTTATTAAAAAAAAAACAAAGAAAAAAAACACGTGTGCAACTGTAGGCTATTTTTTTAAAAAATACAGATGTAAGCCGCTCATGCAACATGCTTTTGGTCGAATTTAGTTTCAGTTTTTTTTTTCCAAAGCTTGTCAGGTGTTTGGTAGTAATATTTTGGCCACTCGATGAGATACTGATTATTGAAAAATGCCATGCTACATGTAAGTTTATTTGGGAATTGGTAATATCACACTATCGACTGATATTTCCTTTGGTGAGCTATATTCTCTGAGGCTTGACCGTGTTTACCGCAGGGACGTATAGAGGGGGAGCCGTGGGAGCCTCGGCATCTCCCCCCACACCTTTTGTACACAGTGTTAAAACGTTAAAGCTTGTTCTTGCTAGCCAATGCAAATTCCTTGTAAACTAAATAAATATGTAAATATGCATCAGCACACATTATACATATAGCCTACTATAATAACACATAGGCCCAAGCGTGATTTTTTTTTTAATCTTAAAAACATAAATCCCAGGAATTGATATAGATTATGTCATGCAATTGGCAAGGTGTTTGGACTCATTGCTGGTACCTCATCAATGCTTTTTTTCATTTATGTCATTGTCAAAAAGGCCCTAGAAAAAAATGTCTTCAGAAAAAATGTGGACCTTTGAAAATTTTTGTTTGGGGTTGGGGGGGTGGTGGTCGTACAACCTTCCCCCCCACCCCCATGCATACACCCATACAGCCCCAACTATGGTTGGGCTGAGGTGGTTGTGAAATCATGGCTTTGTAGTATGTAAAGTACATATTCAAAGACAATGTTTTTTAAGCTTTATTTCCTGTGGTACATTACACATGTTAAGATCACTATGGTTGCCGAAAATCCCTGATAGAGAAAAGATCATGAGAAGTCAAGAAAGATCATGAGAAATTTGTTGGCGATTCATTTGGATTATATATGGTGATGTGATGATGATAAATTTTACTGAAAATGTCATTTTCTGGTTATCTATAAAGGGTCTGAGGTGGGTGTAGACTCACAAAATGTCTCTCCCCACCCCCTCCATCTTTCAAAACAGTTTGCGCCTTTCCTGGGTATGACATTAAACTCCATGAGTCGACACCTGACTCAGAGAATGTCTCCGTGACTGTTGATGAGGCGAGTGTGCATACATTTGTTTTTAGGATGTGATCTGGTTTCACCAGCCCATTTTTCGTGATTATGTCTACTTTGGATAAAGAATGTTTTGAGCAGTGGAAGATTCAAGGCCCACTCGCCCCCTAAATATTTTATGGAAAAAAGGAGAAAAATATAGGCCCCTCTCTTCAAATTTAAGTCCATCTAGAGGTGCCTTAATTATAATTTTCTTGCCTCAGCCCCAGCCATAGTGGGGCTGAGGTGGGTGGTTCCTCAATCTGTAAAAGTCCCTCCCTGGGTCAACTTTTTCGAATTCCTGGATCCACCACTGTGGAGTTATTATATAATTATTGTTAGGCTTACTTTTATTTATGATAGGTTTATTGCAATTTTTACTTTCAGAGCATGCTACTTTCCAGGGGGCTTTGCCCCTGGACCCCCTTTCAAAATCCTGGCTACGTCCCTGGTTTACCGTTTACCCGCAGGTAACAACAGCTTTGTTTCTAAATGTTACTTTAGTAAAATTTCAGTTAAGTAAAACAAAATATTTTATCTATAAAATTGTATATACCGTATACCAGTGAAACTCGCCAGTTAGGATGGACTAGTGTAATATCAGTAAATAATATATGTTATGTAACAAATCTAAAAAAAAATATAGAGACTTGGTTACCTGTGCTTTGCTACTACTTTCCTGTACTTGTTTGGCTAAATGCAGCGCCTTCGAAAGATGTTCATATATCTCATCATCAACTTCATTGTTGCCAGTAACAACAGTAGAATTTACTATTTCTTCTATTTTGTTCACGACAGACAACTCGCGTTTTTTTCGTTGGTATTCATTCTCATTACTTGCAACTTTGAAGAAAAGTGCGTTAATAAGGGATTAATCAACATTCAGTCCCAAGCAATAAGGGGACGTTAGGTAAGCCGGGCACTCACTGCGTCGTACAACGGTCGTAGACCGTCGCACGTCTAGGGCTACGTTCAGACATGGAGATGAGCCAGGCTTCAGTTAAGCCCGGCTCAACGTTAAGCCCGGCTTAACTTTGCCGGGCGTTCAGACTAGCGGTATTAGCAAGGCGAGAATTTGCATAATAATGAAACGTAACCAGGAAACATGTTTTAAAACATTGCTCGCGAAATGTACGCTCGCTCACAGCGTACGTAATTGAATGCTGATTGGTCATTTTGTCACCCGAAGTCAATGCAAGACCCCCTGCAATGATTAAAGCCCGGCTTAGAAAAGTTAAACACGGTGGCGCGCCAGGCCCAGTTACTATAGGAACACAGCCCGGCTTGAGATAAGCCACCTAGTTCAGACTGGCAGGTGGATAAACCCAGTGAGTTGAGCCGGGTTTATCCACCTAGTCTGAACTAGGCCTATATCTAATCCAACTCCGCTCCCTGTGAGCGCTAGACGATCTATTGCGGGCGCGCGTCGTCGCTCTGCATTCTCCATAGAATCGCATCATTCACTGAGAAAATAGACCTACATTGGTGTGTGTGAGGCTTAATGTTTACCACTTACCCATATTCACTGTGGATTTTTCAGTTTGAGATATGTTTTCTGATATAACTTTAGATGCTTTGAGTTGTTTCCGAACTTTCTTCAATGATGCGATGGTATACAAAAACGGATTTATTGCTGAATTAATTGGCAAAATGAAGACTGCCGCCCAAGCGTAAACTTCTGCTGGTATATCAACTCGTCTTGTCAACGACAGTATTCCCATGATTATGATTGGCACCCAGCAAAGAAAATCTGTCGCAACTATAAAAACCATCCGCACAGCTAGAGCAATGTGCTGCTTCTTTACAGAATCCATACTACCTAGGCCTATCTTTTTTAGTTTTGCACTAGATACTTTAATTAAAATGAAAATTCCAGAGTAAGATAAAAAGATTAATAAAAAGCAAAGCATATTGACACCAATGAAAATTGCAGCAGTGTATTCCCATCCTCGTACTCTTTCCGATGTTAATGGTAATGCCAAACAGACACTTGTGACGCCATAGAACTCACTGTTGAAGTAAGACGATGGCAGCGCTGGGATGATGCTCAAGATCAACGTTATTGTCCAGCTAGCTGTCACCACACATTTCACTGTTTTTGGGGTAAGATGACATCTGTGAAATGGAAATGCTATGTTCAAAAATCGGTCACAACTAATCGCAGTAAGAGTGAATACAGATGTTTCGCTTGACAGAAAAGCTAGAATTCCTGCGAAGTTACAAATAAAACTTCCTTTCCAATATCTATCATGTATAACGTAATCATCACGATAATACACATCAGCACTTGCAATGATCACCATATATACACCCATGAGAGCATCTGCTACTGCAAGATTCGTTATCAAAAGAGACTGTATGTATGAAGGACTTTTCACTGCAGGCCGGTTTCTTGCCCGCCATACGATCACGAACATGTTTCCAAGAAGTGCACTCAACCCGAAAAACCATAAAAAGACTCGTAAGACCTTTTTCTTCATCAGATTTGCACAAGACGAGAAGACGTCAGCGTCTGGTATACAATCGACATCTTTTTTCTCATTTAGTAAACAGCAAAATGCATAGTCATCTGAGATTCTGAAACATTAAATATGGTGCATGTAAATGAATTTAATATTTTTGCTTTGTTCCATCGATTTGTATTTTTCTTCGAGCTGCAGTGAATCATCCAGGGAACTATTATTTAGGCCATTAAAGTGCCGGAGAATGGAGCAGTGGCACTAATAATAATAATAGATGGATTTATATAGTGCAAATAAACAAGGTCTCTATGCGCACATGGTTCTATCTGATGTGTTCTTTTTGCCTCCTGATTTGTCTTCATTTGTCAGTTTCAGGTTATTATTTTTCAAGATTTTTGTTATTTCAAGAAATTGTTTTAATGTGCTAGAGACTGTTTCTGTAATATGTTCTATACAAGTCCATAGCCATTACATTACAATTATTTAATTTGAAATTTTAATAATGATAGTGGTCCAGCACACATAATAGTATGTCATCCTTATAAGATACAGAAATATAACGACATACTTATGTTAAATGTTGTAGTATGTTACGTGTCTATTTTACATGATTCATGAAAGTATACTTACAATTTTTTAACAGATGCCAGATCCTTAAATACGGTTTTATCGAACTCATCAATATTATTTCCCGATATATCTCTGTAAGCAAATTTATATGTAATACAAATAACACAACATACTGTTTAATGTATATTTTGTATTATAACTAGGCCTAACTATATTTATTCAATATTAATACTATGTTATCATATACGTTATTGTTATCATTAATAATTGTACAAACAGCTGGTATAATTTATTCTTAAAAGAAAAATTCAAAAGTGTTATTTCAGTCGGACATATTACAAAGTGTTTCTGCCTGCTCGAATTCTATTTACATCTAATCATCACTAAAATGCTACATGAACAATAGGCGTTATACCAGGCAAAATATCCATTGCCTTAATTTGTACTCACAAATATTCCAGGTTTGATAATCCTGCAAATGTTTTCAAGTCTATTGATTTCAGCCCGTTACCACGTATATCACTAAAATATTAAAGCAGTAAAGTACTCATAGTACAACATAAACTTGTGTCATTTAGCTCAATACAATTGTAAATTTATATTTGAATATTAACATACAAATTGAACTTGTTGTTTATACATACTGTAGACACATTCAGCTTCCTCATAACGTTCAAAAGCTGTAACTTTGTATGCCTCTCCGGAGCTTTTGAATTAAAAGACACTGATCCTCACTTTAAAATATTTTTACAAATTAGGTATACAGTACCGGTATTCTTCGTTTCCTGGACACTTTGAACTTTCGTCATCAGAAAAATGGTTGCTTTCTGTTCATTGGACACAAGTATTTGTACTCGCTGCACACTCGCTTGTTAAACACTCATCCTTACATGTCAACAATGGCCTTCGTTTCCTTTCCTTACCGAGATTACTGAAATCTCATATTTTGCACAAATAATACGAAAAGTGACATTCCCAGTCATCTTCGTTTCCTTTCCTTACCGAGATTACTGAAATCTCATATTTTGCACAAATAACAGTGACATTCCCAGTCATCTCTTATTCAAAGCAGGACTACAATATTTATGTATTTATTTTAGTTCTTTATTTGTTATATTATTGTAGACTGAGTAAAGAATGTTTATTTACTTACAGGTATTTTAGATTGTGTAAATCTTTAAAGATGTCACCACTTAATGACGTTATCATGTTGTTTTGGATGCAACTAATAAAAACATATCAATGATGAAGCGTAAACATTATAAATATAAAATATAACAAATTATAAATTTACAATTAATATCAATATCCTTCATTTATCAATGTACAATAAAAAGAAACTTTGTTGTCTCTGTGTAAAGCAATACACCTATAAGGGAAGTAGCATTTTATTTGTGCCTTGCTGAACCTCTTTGGGTCGTCTTAGATGCTGCTTGACTTATCTTGAAATGAGTTAGAAGGATAACAAACAACCGCAACAACCCAACGTGCTGTCTTCAGACGTCTACCTAGGTAGATTTTGTCGACTGAACACGGGTTAGTACCGATAATGCGAAATAGTTTAAATATTACAGAATTAACCACATTCTTTAAAATGTTTACGTCCACAAGCAACTTACAGTGTCCTTAGGTGCACCAGCTGTTGAAAGTCTGTGTTTTTTACTGCCCTGATACTGTTTCCAGAGATATCCCTACAAAAAAAACACGTAACAATGAAAACTTTAGAAAACAAGAATGAACTTTCACTGATTCCATTGTAGTCATACTTACAAGATTGCCAGGAACCTGAAAATTCTCAGATTGACAAAAAGTAGTTTATCCACCGAATCGACGGGATTTGAAGAAACTCCGCTCATGTTTCTAAGAAAGTAAATAAACCAAAGTGTTTGAAATAGTATGTGATTTGTATTAACACTGTATGTACTTTTTGGTTGCTGTGCATCAAACCAGTATACTCCTTTATTTTATTAATAATTTCTCATTCAAATTTTTATCCATTCTTCATATGGTCTTAGTAAAATTTAAGGTAGAATACATTTTGACTTACAAGTATCGTATATCTCTTGGTACAAGAGCACCTTTATTGTCCTTCCACTCAGCACCAGAACAGTTAAAAGAAAGACCATTGCAGGTACATCCATCTGGACACACTACATCTAAATAATCAGTTGTTGAAACACGTTGTTGAAATATCCTTTTATTGGGATTCAGGCAAATAATGCTATCAGTCCCAATTGATTTAGGATTGCTATAATGTGTTAACACAGGTTAGAAAAATATGATATGTTGTGTTTATATGTAAATTTAAAAAAAGATACAAATTGTAATTCTACCACCCCTAATAGAGTATTTAGGTACTAGATTTTCTGAACACATGCCCATGGCCTATGTATATTTTCATAAGTGTTGAAAAAAATTGAGGTAGTTGGATATGGCACTAGCTTTGTAGTTATTAGTAATTGTTAATACATTCCGAATTGTCAGGATTTCCAAAATATTTTAAGTTAGAACTTCATTTGATGCTGTAAATCAAGTCATGCATGAACTGTTTTCTAAATGGATATAACACAATATATATAATTAAATTACTAAACTTACTGCAGAAAAGTTCATCATCACCACGGACACAGTCTTTGATATTGTTACAGACACGATCTTGAGAAATACAATTTGTTGCATCTTGGCATTTGAAATATCCAGGACACTTATAATCATCTATGAAATATGATATTACGTTTAACACCAGATAAAATAATATTTTGTAGATGATTTTAGAAAATATGTGGATGTACATTTATTTAAAACTCCAGTCCACTGTGAAGAACAGGCTTGGAGTTTAAGCAGCAAGACCATGATTTAGAGGGCAAAGCTGCTATCATAAAATAACCATGGTAAACAAAAATGCCATGAAGATTCAAAAGGTAGGAGTCCTTAAATCATTATCATTTTTTACATCATTTTGTTTTTTCTTCTGGTGGACCGAACTCTTAGGACTCCGCAAATGTAGGAGTATAACAGGAGTCAAATATATATAATTTGCCCATTAGCAAAGATTCTAGAAATACAAGATAGAACACTCGCATAGCAAAAATTAGGCGGAAATTGGTCCAGATTTACGCGGCGCCCTTCTATTTTTATAATGCAAGTTTTTTATACTTGGTCCAGACGTATAGGGGGCCCTTCTGTTGCTAGATATATTCCAGACGCACACGGCCGGCGCCCTTCTTTTTCCACTAATGGAGGAAAACTTTATCACTAATCAGAGTCCGGTTATACAATTCTGCGCTTTTGTGTCATTTTATTGTTTTAATTTATTTATGCCTACTTGTTTGTATATTATTATTATGGATAATGGCAACAATTTCAAACTCCGCATAAGGAGGTTATATATTCACATTTATGTAACAGTGGCAGAAGTAATTTAGATCCAGCCGTACGCGGCGCCCCATTGTTTGTATCCCCCATCATGCATTTTGGTGGAACAGTTTTTTTTTTCTGTGGAGAACTCTATTTTGTGTTTCTAGTAACTTTGACATTAATATATGGGTGTGATATGACATCATCATTTCATTTACTGTATTTTGTCTCAGTAAAATCCATAGAAACAACAACCGGTTACAATACAACATAAAAAAGCATAAAATATCAGAAACAGGCCGGATTCCTAAAAGTAAACCAATCACTATCAAGTAGGTATCCTATTGTGTGATATTCCGATTAAAGCAATAAATCCCTAGTTTATACAGGTAGTACCTTCCAAACACGTGGAAACATACTTAACACAGAATATTTTAGAGAATTTGTTCGAGCATATGGGTTTACAGATTTAAGATGATTACCGTGTCTAGACTCTAGTATTTATAGTTGTAATTAAAAATATCCAAATCATAAGAGCCATGAAGACATTTGGCAATAAAAGAAATGGTAAGGAGCTGAAAACGTTTTTCAATTGAAATTAACAGATAATACCAAGACGTTGTGCATGTAAGTTTCCTCCCATATTCTGGAACCAGGCTCGAGTTCTGCGTTTCTCCTGCTCTAAAGAGTTTAGATGTCCCGTCTGATGCAGCAGGGATCGCATATTCTATAATTGGGCGAACTATTGCACAAAATAATTTTAGAACTACCCCAGCAATTTCTATCTCGTCTGCTATATATGCAGCCCCCAGTCCAATCTTGAAGTAAAAGTTACTCCTACTGTATGTATTTATAATAGCTAACCTGAGTCAGAACGTTTAAACCAATATTATATAATTGCGAATTGTTTTTTAGACTTGATGAACTAATTATGCACATCGACTTAATCTTTGATGAGTTAAGGAGCATCTTGTTATGTAAGCTCCAATTGAGAATAATATTCAGGTCATTTCGGATTGCTGGTCTATAGGAGACCTAGTGGCTCTATATAAAATTGTATCGTCCGTATATTGCAGAACGTAAGAGATTTGCCCACACATGTCGTTGTCACAGTCACATTAAACTAGATAATTTGGAAAAAGCTAATATCAATCATATTATTACCACAATATTGTTCATCCTCTCCGTTATCACAATCATTTTTACCATCACATCGGCTCTTAAGTGGGATGCAGAATGAGCTGGGACACTTGTAAGTGTGAGCGGGACACTGGAACACAGCTGAATTTAACAAACAATTATTATTATTATTATTCTATTATTTCTTTATAAATATCAACATACATTCATAACAGTGGCGTAGCGTAGGTGGTATAAAAGTAATTGTCTAATACCTTCAAAATTAAAAAAATATATGTTTTTATGTTTTTTAGTCTACTAGTACTAAGTTTATGGGGCGTCAATAGTGTCCAAATACTCAATGTCATACGTATATACTTACCAACATAAATGCATACAAACATACATACATGCATGCATGCATATATAATTGAAGTTACAACGTTTAAAAGTTTGATAAAAAGTATTTTACTAATCAAAGAACACATAATAAAAATAAAATAACACTGTAAACGACTTTGAATTTAAACGAGTACTTTAACACCTTAAACTGGAAACATGACAACGACCAAATCGAGATAAAAATTCAAGGAAAAGATAGAAAAGTTTGTCATTGCTCACATAAACTGTTAAAAAAACTGCGAATCAAGTGTTCAAAATAGACCTTCAATTTTAATAAAATCTCTGCTTTAATGAATATAGAATACCTACCACAATTGTGTAAATGACTACGATCTCGACAGCCAAGAAGCTTCTCATACTCATCATAGTCACGTATGCATAGGTACCGCTGATCCGCACAAACACCATTTTCACACCTAATTTTCCATTTTTCACATGTATCTGTTAAAAATAAATGACACCTTACAATACATTATTTAAGTACTGTAGCATAAAAACTATATCTCATATTAGTTAAAATGTTAAAGTTAGAACCTTATAAGAAAGTGTCAGAACTCATTTAATACAGTAGGTAGGAGATTTATAAATTATGACTTTTATTGTGAAAGAATAGAATCAGTTGGGCCTACTGATCTAATTGGAAATAAGACTACCAAAGAGAAAGGTAACGAGTAAAATAATTAATGTGAAATAGCCATGCGAGCTAGATTGTAAACTTACCCATATGACAACTCATAGGTTCGTCTATTCCGTTTGGACAGTCTTTAAATCCGTCACATACATATTTTGAATGTAAACATGTTCCATCACTGCATCGCATGAAACCTTCACTGCATTCAGCTATAGAAAAACAATATTGCAGAGGTGTATTACACATTGTAACACCCAGCCTACAATATTACGTTATAAGAACGTCATAATAACGTTACAGTTTAGTGATAAAAACGTTATTTTGTAGAACCATATTACGTACTTATAACCTAATTTGTGTGAACATTATTTTGTGACGTTTTGTGTTTGCTGAGTATGTTCTTTCTGGCCGGTATATATCATAAACGTAGGTGTTTTTGTATCGGAGTATGTATTTAGCAGTATCGCCGAGGATGGGGAACAGTCGAGACAAGCATCAGCAATTTGGCCTACATCGGTATGCTCAATGCCTCCTATAGGGCAATTAATTTCAATTTAAATAATTTGTATAAATTCATTTATAATACTTGCCCTGTTTTATGAGGGTGCTAGATATACATTTAGGGGTGGTAGTTAGAATATATTGACGGGGTCAAGACAACGATTGAGACAGGCAATCGCATTTTCGCTCAGGAAGCAATGCCATGATACATCGCTTCATCCTTTTGGCTCGGTCCTACAGTCGAGGCAGCAACTTACTAGAAGGTATTCTTTACTAATTCTTAAAATATCACCTCCATCAACTGTTACCAAATTGGGCTCAAATTTTCGTTGAGTATTATTTTCATTCGACTGGTTCGTAAAACAGACTTCGTTGACATTGAAAATTAACGTAACCAAAATGCGTTAATCAGCATTAAGTTATCCACATGACCCAAAAAAAAAAATATGGCCGATTGGTCAGTAGAGAAACAACGTTTGCGTTAATATATAATTTAGATTAAATTTCAGAAAAATTTTTCTGCAATAACAAATACTAACCTTATCTTCATTCATTTTTACTTTTTACTACAGTAATGAAATCGGCAATTATACTAGGATATAGCTTTGTTTCAGGCTTGGCAGATAAGCAGTGTTTTCATATAAATCAGTAAAGGGCACTATCTATGCCCTTTTATAAGGTTCAGAGAAATCAGGTGTTTTTATTAAAATAATACCCAAAGTTAAGATTAGTCTGCCTTTCATTTATGTATCATTGCGTATGCAAGCAAAAAGGAGCGTTCACGTCGCGGTCCTGTTCCTACCAATCCTTTCACAACTACACACGAACATCTTATTTGTTGAGTTTTTAGAACGAAATCGACATGGCTCTACTACACAGAGTATAGTGCGCCTTGAGCACTACTGCAGTGGATTTGTGCGCTTTATAAACCTTATTATTATTATTATTTTATTATTATGATCTCATGAATATACTCGATAGGAAGAAGAATACGGGGTGGACCCAGGAATTGTAGTTAGGGAGTGAAGTACCAAAAACTTCAGATGGTTTAAATTAATACCACCACGGCTGCATGTTCCCCTCATGCAACGGGTGCTGTTGATTAATACGTACCACATTTCAATTCATCCGTTTCGTCTATACATTCCGCAATCCCATTGCATCTCAGTGAAGATTCCAAACAACGACCACCGTCACACGCAAACTCAGCATCGCTGCAGTTAACGAACACTACAAAATACAAAATATATATTTCGATCAAGCTTTTTTAAAAATTTTATTTTACTTTATTATTATTTGACCCGTATCTAATAAGGGTGAACCATCCAGCAACTGATAATTATTTAGGACCCCTTTTAATTAATACATTGAATCTTCACGTCTTGTCATTGATTGACTTTCAATAATCATGAGTAGCGGCCAAATGTAACAATTTACCGCCCAGAGGCGTGTACATATCTTATTTATTAGAATAATTTTCAAGCTGATCTAATATTTTTTTGAACTTTTAACATAAGTCTCCCAAAAGATGGGAGGGTTGCAGAGATGGTTCCTTACTCATTTGCGGAGATCATAGGGGAGGGGAAAACGTCCAGCCACATATTTTTAATGTGGGGAGAGCGGTTGTTCCCCTTACTCTTCAACCGCAATGTGATTTCATAAGTGAAAAAGGTGGCCGCTGAGAATTGTTGAAATGAACTACATACAGCAGAGTACTGTACAGCTGAGTACTGTACAGCTAGAGTACATCTTATCTTATAGCAAGATACCGTCTGTGCCCCAAATATCTGAATTACCTAATACACGACTCGATGAGTGCGCGTGCCTTTATTATACAGTAATTTGAGAAGTCTTCTGCCTTCGGCGTCTTTTCGTAAGTCTGAAATGAAGCTTAGGCCTATACATTATAAAACATTTTTTCATTGGAATGCCGGTTTGCGTCTCTTGGTTTTAAACATTTTTTGTGTTCATGCGGTAAAAACGTTCCCAAGAAATGATGAAAGAAATTATTTGACGATAATGGGCACACAAAACTGGCCGGAGGGGCAGTGCTACTATAAAATGTAACACCGCGAATAATACTGTAACACCAAAAATCGGAACAAGGGTTGGCGACCAAAAAAACCGCCTGACACATAACTAACTATGAGAAGGGTGAGTGGGTGAGCTTTGATTCATTTTTTTTAAAAGAAGATTACGACCTTAAACAACGATTGTGGAAGAATGCGATGCGTTCAACTAAAATCAAACCCGCTAACTACCAATTCGAACAAAAGAATGCACGCCCGCATCATAAAAGCGCACCATACAGTCATTAGGTTTTGATAGATAATCCACGTTGACAGAATTCGAAATTTATATTTTCAGCAGGCATCACAGATCACAGTAGTCAGAACTTCTGTTTATAAACAGAGGTTGAAAGCGATAT